GGAAATTTATTCCAGGAGTGATGCTACCAATGCCATCTGTGCAATTAAACACATTGTCTCCACATTGTTTGCTTTCCCCAATTACTAAGGGATGTCTTCTTGTTCCCATCTGTTTCTAGAACGGTATAATTTGCATCAAGTTCCTTAGTCTACACTCCTTGATTTGTGGCTAAGAAATAATACTACTTTGCTATTTAAGATAGCAAGGGGGAAAAGCCACAAGCAATCATTTGCTTTCTGCTGTTGACAAGCATTTGTGCCATGCCTTGGCATGTTCACAGAAACACACACTGTGTCCAGACCAGACACCAAAGCCTGTTTTAACATCTGAATCTCATTAGAAATGTCTCTTCCCAGATGCTCAATAGGAAGGAAATATCTAAACTGAAGTGCTGGATGTCTGCAGTGTCAATCTGGATGTAAAGCTAATGAGTTTATCATCAGAAGAGATTAGAGACAATTAATAGTCTCTGGTGAACAGGAATATTAGCTGAGCGCAATTAAAAAATGTGCAGTCATAAACTCAACCAAAATGCTAGGAAGTGCTAAAATATTTGAAGTCTCTCAGTTTAATATTTGAGAAAATTCTTACTAAATAATCAAGAAAACATTGACCATGGCAGAGTAATCAATTAAATACTGTTTTCAATCTTCATCAGCCCAAAACTTTAGGCTTGGAAAATGGACATCAAGTCAAAACAACCCAGGAATCAGCTGCCTCTATCACAGATGATTGCACTTTGTACTTGAATCTTTCTCTACATTTCACTGTTATGTTTAGGAACACGGTTCAGTTCCTAAGCACAGCTCTGATGCCTTCAGGGCTGGTGCTCCGTGTGGTGGCATACATGAATCTTAAGACTCTCCCCTCATAGGAGTGACAGGTAGAAATTCTAGAGGATGGAATCACTCATTTCTCCACTAGATGGCTTCATTCTCATGAAGAAAATTGAAATGAAAATCAAATGATTCCTGCTTTGACTATCCTGTGAAACTAAAAAACATTAATAGATTACCTGCTTGCATGATACTAACTATTAACTCCATAAACCTTCATGTGAAATCAGTGTTTTAAGGATGTATTTTCCTTACCTCTTGGTTCAGGAAACAGTAGAGGAGTGCTACAATAAAGCCCTGAAGATGAAATACAAAACAAAAGAGCAGTTGAGTGTTATCACTGTTTGAAAAAGCCACTGGCAGAGACTGCATGGAAGTGCTGTGCATGTGAGTCAGTGAAGTTAGAGGATTTTTACAAACCATGTACCTCCAGCAAAGCCCATCCGTCAGGTAATCAACTGGTTAATTGCCCTTCACCAAAGTCAGTAAGGTCATAGAAATTCACAGGAATACACAATACAGAAAATTAACCCTCAATTTATGCTTGCCAATGTATGCCCATTCTACAGTCAAGGAGCTCATAGAGATTTTCTGTCAACTTCAGTCTTAGCAAGGGATCAGATGAGATAACATTTTTGACTACTGAATACACTTACAAAGTTTCTGAACTAAGATAAACAAAGGAAAATCTGAGGATGACAGCGCATCTATATAATCAGCTACTCATTAAACACATAATCTTTTTGTTCAGCTTACTTTTTTCTTACTTTGTTAGTTAAAAGTGAAGGGCAGATCCAGCTATGGAGGCTCAGAATTCAGTTGTTCAGGGGTGATTGTACAGGATTGGCACAATGAGTTAAATTTGCACAAGGACTGAACCAGCACAGCTTGTGGGTTTCCAGTAATGCTCACTGACAACTGGTGCCATGCAGCCATTTGGAGAGAGATGTGCTCCCTTTTGAAGTTTGGTAGGATTGCACACATCTGTTTCTTTTAGACTCTGAGATGTGGCACAGAGACAGAGAGGAAAGCAAAGGGAAGCAGAGTGCTGTCTTGCTTTTAACTCAGGCAGTAAATCTACCTGGAGGGGTATGTCAGGACAGCCCCAGTTGCTGTTGCAGCTGGCAGCAAGCTCATCGAGCTGTTCATGCCTTGTATGTCCATTCAAAGTACTTGGGACACCCAAAGTACATGAAACACTTTTTTCTTACCACAGGGGGGAAACGTCAAATTTCCCAGAGCAGCAGACTGTCTGAGGTATCTACACCCAACAAAGCTATTCTTTTAATGTATTTGAACTACCAATTTATTCCTTGCCAAAGAATTGGAAAGGGGGCAGGACCTACAGCTTTGATTGCCTGTGGTTCTTCTATCGTCAGGCCCAAATGGATTGATCTTGTCAGTGAAGTCAGGGAAGGCCTGTGGGCTGTTAGCAAAGGTGGCTTTGTCCTGTCTAACTTGGACCCAATGTTTAACTAACACATGTATATCAAAAACTTGGTCATGTACTGGCGATCTGCAAATACACAATCTGACATACAGCCAGGTAGGATGTGTATTGCATCCTCAGATCTGTAATCCCAGCAAAGAACCTTGAGGAGATACTATCTTCAAGATACAATTATCTTTTGTTTGCTCCTAGGTGTCACATAGGTACAGCATTAAATCAGAAAATCTACAAGGAAGGAACTGAAGTTTCAGCAGTGAACTTACCTGAAAAGATCCAAAGCAGAGCTCTAAATAAAGCCGAATGCCAAGGCTGGTGTATTCCGGAAGAAAATTGAAGACAATATAATGGGTTCCAAATAAAGGAATTAGAAGCAGAGTTGACCTTGAGAGGCGTCTAACACGAGCCATGAGAAGAAGTAAGGGAATTATTTTTTTTCAGAGTAAAGACTAACGCATGCAATATGTAATAATGATGAACAAAAGTTAGCGAGGAGATCTAAATATCTAGGTATTGAGTTCTTATCTCCTTGGACTATAATGCTAGTCAGAAGGCATAATGAGAAAATAGCTGGAAAGACTCTTCTTGTGCTTATTGCCTTATTAGGAAGACTGTATTTATGACATAAGGTATTTTGGCATTTGCTTTTCCAAATGAAATTGTAATTCTGGAAAAAACAAGCAGTAGAATATTTTTTGCTCTACTTGAGCCATTGAATTTTTGATATTTATGTGTAAATGAGAAAAGATGAAGAAATACACAGTCTCCTTGTATAGTTCATGTCCATAGAAGGACAACTCCAGACAGCAATTTACTCCTTTGATGACTTTCAAAGGGATTAAGATAGCACTGGGAATTTCTAATATTAAATGCCAGCAAAACTGAGTCTGGTTTTGGCACTGGGCATGTACTTCTGTTTAGAAAAGTTACTTTTGTGACTAAATTAATTGACAGTGGGTTTTTTTGTTCCATACACTACCTGTACTGAGATGAGTTATTGAAGTTGATTTGCCTGGGGTCTAGTTTTTTCAGCAAAATTCTGATGATGTTGATAAATAGGACAAAATTGACCTGTTAAATTTTTTTTTTTAAAAACAAAAAGAAAAGATTACTTTCTCATATTAAACTTTTCAATGAACATCATTATTTGCCTTCAGTTACACTGTCATTTGTATCATTTCAGTGAAACCTGGGGAAGATTATCATTATAATCCCTGCTTGCAGCATTCAACCCTCTCAGTAGGTTGCACTCCCAGAAGAGGAGATCAAGATGAGAACACGAGAATTTACCTCTGTTAAGCAAGCTACTTTTGTCAGTATCTCATGTGATTCATATTCTTTGTAGCTCGTATTTTTTTTCTTGTTTGAGCTGGGTGTTGCATTTCTTTAGACGTTAGAATTCATCCTGTTGAATATAGAGAACTATGAAGGCTGCTTCTGACCTGATCACCCTATTCTCTCTTTACAGTCAGTGGAGAAAGAGGTAACCACAAGGTCTTAGATGGAGCTGGGGATCATCACTTCCAACCTCAGACATCAAATGATTCTCATACCAGTGGTGCCTGTTTCTCATGGTTGGCTCTGAAGAAAGCTGAGGAATCTCAGCTCCAGAGCTGCCTAGGGTCAATCCTAAATTGCAAAGTAAATTTTATCCAGTTGCTATTGGGCATAGCCCTGCTAAAGTCTATGGCTCAGCTTAGCACTCTAAAATCCATCAGTGAAACATTAAGTACATCCCAGCAAAGAATTCATCACTGTAATCTCCTGAATCAAATGAGGATGTCAAACAGAAAAGTAAGCAGAAAACTAATTGTGGTAGAAAGAAATGTCAGATTTTATTAGAATGTGCAACTATGACCAGTGTTCAAATTGAGATTATTCATTCATGTTGTCATACATGCCTTATTTGTATGCATCTGTGATCCAATTAAATTAATCTTTAGATAGATAGCTTTAAAGCCATCCACTCTAAGAACAGCTGATGCCTTTCAGATTCCTCAAGCTTAATGACAATTGGGAGTAATCATATGCCATAATCATTTAAGGCCCATCAGGTTATTCAGTGAACATCAAAATCAAAAGCTATTATTATTATCTTTTGTGAAATAAGTCCATTACTCTTGAAAATTTGCATAAAGATTTAGGGCTGATTCTGGATTATTAGCCTAAAACCTCACTTTTCAAATACTAGGAGAATAGTTTAATCACTCGCCACCAATTTCAATCACACTAAAAATTCCAGGAAAATGTCAATTCTTTGAAGAATGTTTGCTGTAAGTAATGGGAAGAGGGCAGTGCTGTGCCTCTTTCTGGCCTACAGTAGATGTAGGTAAGAGACAGAACATTTCTACAGTACAAATTCTACCATTCCTCCTCCTGACTTAAAAACTAAAACATTTCATCAAACAGTAACTAGATTTGCATTTAGAAGACTGTTTTTTCTTCCAAGTAGTGTTCACAGAGTTAGAAATACTTACCCCAACAGAAATTATAATAGGTCCTTTGATTAGCCACCAGTAAGGAGAGTCTTGATTAATATCCCAGCATCTGAGAAAATACTGATATGTTTAGAAAAGAGGTGTACATGATCACTGCAATCAAGATACCATAAAACAGTGCCAATGAAATTCTCAGTAGATGTACTTTTTATGGAGGTGTAGGTATACTGCAAGTACTCAGATATGCAGATATATCTGCTCTCTACAAGACATATTTTCTTATAGATTATCCTACTCTCTTTGAAAAGATACAGAGCTATCATGAAGCATTAAAAGCCAAGAATGTGGCAGTTCCAATAAAACACGTGAACAGATGACAGATATAAAGATATGGATTTCTTCTTCAAAAACACGTATTTAAAATGTGAAACAGTTTGTCTGAAATCCAAGGTTCAGAAAATCCAAATGTATTTTGTATCAGAAGCTCCAAAAATTCTGCTGTATCATCTTCCTTATCTGATTGGAATCTCTTTTTCTCTTGCAGCCAAATTAAATGTATCAATTTCCTGGGAAGAATGCCCTACACAATTACAATACTGCTGCCAGATTATACTTCAGTAGATGGTGTAATCCCCGTTCTCTATGTCTACAGGGAAATGGAAACTCAGAACTCCACAGCAGGCACTTATCTAAATGGTGATGTAGAAAAAGGAAAGCCAATAACATACTGATATTATTTTTCCATATCCATGACTTGAGCTTTCATAGCTACCATTATGTTTAAGATATAACTCATGCAGTAATGTAGGAAACAGTGACTTACGATGTGTCTTCAAAGTAGAACTTTGCTAATATCCATATGAAGGTGAAAAGTGTTGGAAAACCTGTCAGACAATAAAACAAAAAACTTTGTTTTCTGGTTTCATCAATTGATCAAAATCTTGTCCATTGGAATTCTGCTGAGATGCTGCTTCTCAGCCGTTTTTGGAACTGGAATTATTGTTTGTAGGTCCCTAAATCTCATGGAATGAGACAAGATATAGCATTGACTATTTGGTGATCATTCATCACTGTGAAACGTAGGGGAATACAGAAGATACTTGCACATGGCATAGTGATGCCAGGAAGGTCTGAGCTTGCAAATTCTTACCTACATGAACACAATTCAAATGGGATTTTACCTTAGCACTTGCATGCAGATAGCACATTAAAACCTAGATTGATACAATCTGTTCTTTTCACATGACAAAAGACTAACGAATATTGTCTATCAGTTCTTCAAATGATAGCAATATGAACAGTTGGCAAACACTAATTGTGATGCACTCCAATTTAAACCTTCCTTGAAATCTTCCCAAAACACAAAGACTGATTGATATTCTTAGTTGCCAAGCTCACCCTAACCTGAACTGACCAAAACTTCCCTTGGTCCATATATCCAAAGGAGGAAGTTGTCTGATTTTTGTTTTCCACAGTGAGTTTTCAGATCAGGGACTGATACTTCATGCAGATCCCCAGATGTACTTATTTTTCTATTCCTTTCATAGGGACTTCAGTGCTGTACTTTTAAAAAGCTCGATTGCTCCTCAATAATGTGTGTGTAAAAATAAAAGCAAACTCAACATTTGCTTTAATTTTTGTTACTGACTTCAGTTAGGCAGGCTCAATTACATTTTTTTTTTTAATCAGATGAATAAAGCTTTTTGTAATATCTTGCCTTTCATTAATTTTATGTAAAATCCTTACTTACCCCAACCAAAGAGAACCAGCCACCAGAAATATTTTCTTCCATGAGAAAGGGATGAGAGTAGTAGACAATTAAGGTAAAGAGCCTCTACCAGCAGCCATATGAAATTGGTCATCATGAAGTAGTGACAGAAAACAACTGAGATCTTGCATTCAGTCTAAGGTAAACAAAGTCATAATTATGAAACAACATGTGGATATGTAAATTATATTTGTAGATGTGCAATATCTAAAGAGACTAAAGATCTAAAGACCTAAAAAGAGTAGGATCTCACATTTACTGCCATGTTTAAAGGGAGACTGTCAAATGTAATATGGCTTTCTGAAGAGTAGGACTTAACAGCTTGGAGTCTGTACTGTATTTTACTTTATGTCGCTTTGCTATAAATGTAGCTGGGTGTCCCAGTCATGAGATTTCTCCTACACATGGACTGCTTTCAGTGTAGCTTATACAAGTAGACTGAAATGCTCACTAGCTCTTGGAAATAAGCATGTTCAAAGACCCTTCACTTTTTCTGCTTTAAATTTTGTGTGGCCATGAGAAATAACGAAGAATCAGCTAATTAAGCTGTGTTTGAGAACAACCTTATTGCCAATGTTTGTCACTATTCAAAACTAAATTGGTTGTCCAGTCTCTTGCACATTCTGTGGTCTACGGGAGCTTTGGTCAGAACACAGAATCCAACCTTTCCAGAAAACTAAAAGATGTTATGAGATACTCAAGAGATCTTTGATTTTAGGTTGTAGGTCATAGAAGAGTAGCAGAATAATGGTACTATTCTTTTCTACAGCACAGTCTAAATCTGATTCAGAATACAAGAGGATCACAGATTGATGAACTCAGGACATGGACAGAATATCCACCCTTATGAAAGTAGAACATTTGAACACAGTGTCTGAGGGTACTAATTAGTGTTCACCACCACAAAACAAACAAACAAATAAATAAATAATTTTTTAAAAAGCAAAAGAAGAAATGGATAGTAAGTCCACACATAGATGGCATGAAAAAATTATCAAGTACCACAATATCTTGCTCTCAAAGTGCTTACTGTAGAGAAACTGCAATGGTCAATGTCTTCCTCTTGGAAAAGGACAGAATCCTTAATGAAAATGGCAATAGCCTTTAAGATGAAAGTGAAAAAGAGCTGTATGTGGATGTAATTTCTGGGGCAGCGTAGCCTCCTGGAAGGAAAGAAGAAAAGTCCTTCTGAAGTAGTTCACTGACTTGTGCTGGTAGCAATTCAGATACACGATAAAGCCTTGTTTCACCTCAGGTATTTCCAGGCACGTATAGAAAGAACTCTTCAATCCACTGGGAGGGTAAACAGGCAGAGACAGAAACCTTCCTCACATAAAGCAATTCATCCACAGTCTACATCTTCTCTCTAGTTAGATCATGGCCTCCTTTTAGTTATGTGTTCACTGTGCCTGAACTAAGATATTGGATGATTGGCATTGTTTGGGGACAACGAGAAACCTGTGCTTGGAGAAGGGTCTTCACTGGTATAACTTTGATTTCAGCTATACCACTCCCAACAACAGGCATGCAGAGATACTCCTGTCTAACTAGACAGTTGAACCTCAGTGAAGAGGGTAATGATTATTTAGCAAAGTTTCCTGCATAGCAAAATATTGTGGTTGAGTTAAATTGCATTAAATCTCTGTGTGGATTGCCTTATCAAGAATTAAAGAATGCTTCCTTAGCTCACCAAAAATTTATCATATGAATGAAATGAATGCAGATAATTACTTTAAAACAATTTGGCACATCTATTTTAAATTCCCACACTGAGTCAACAGAGATTAATTTTTCTGATTGTTACTAAATACAGACTTTAAAAGCTGCATTCCTTTCAGATCCATTAATCTCAGGGTCACCTACTCTTAAAGCTCAGTTAGCGTGTGCAGAATTTTACTACCAAACAGAAATGCCAACCCCATTGTTGGCACTTCACTATAAGTCTTTCCTCCCTGTTCCTAAGTCTCTTTCTGTCAATTGTTTCTTTCTTTCCCATTATTTGACTTGGTTTGTTTTCTCAGGGTCAGGATGGATGTCAATACACGTAACTGTTGACTTCCAGACATAAACTAGGAAGCAGAAGAGGTCAAGAAACTTTCCCCAGAGAAAGCTGATTCTCACAGAATAGTAAGAAGAGGTAATAGATCTCTATTTTATTATTATTTTTCACTCTGCACAAGTACAAGAAGTAAGCAAAGATTTGTAAAATAAATCCTATATGGTAGCAACCATCATATCTACACTGAATAAGAATACAAGCAATCATTTCACATTGAACTGTGAAAGAAATGTTACCAAACGTGCCAAATTCAGACTAAACTTCACAGGTATGTTGTTTGTTCTAAATGTTTCAGTAGTGATATATACAGTGCCATAGGAACACTGGCTCAGAATTGAGTTATTTTTTATTTTCCTTGATATAAAATCTGCTAAGTTCATATAAGCAAGCATACATTGCTTACCAAAATCTACCTTCATTCCAGCTAAAGTAAGCAAATCTATCTTTTGGTTATTATTATCTGAATTGCTGACTACTGCTAGCAGACAATCAGTGCTTATTTCCTAGTTCAGGTTATTCTTATTTCTTTGTTTCTCTGATAATCTTTATTTTCCAACCTGAATTTAATATTACCAAACCAAAATTGTCTGAAAGTCTTAATCTATTCTTCTGAGTTTCTGTTTCTATTACTTTCTCATGTCAAGTCATGTCGTATAAAGACTAAGGCACAGAGAACTGTTAAATGAATCAGGTTAGAAGGTAACTTCACATACCTGAATGCCATTAGAACTGTCACAGCAATAACGAGTGAGGTAATAGACAGGCTGTATCCTATGGTATATATTATCTTTATCGTAGAAAAGTAGGATTGCTATAAGAGAAGAGAATGATTTGTTACGTAAATTGCAGCCAGATGACAGCTGCTTTTCTGATTTTAGCAGTTTTGCTTCATTTGGTGCTTCCAAACTGTTCAGAGCCCCGACAGCCTTTTTTATCCTAATTCCACAGGAAATTTCAACTGAAATCTATCATTAATATTTCTTTCACAAAGACCCTTTCTATAGGTATGTGAACATAACACAGTTTGATAAAGAACTATTTATTAAGTTGGTTTCAAACTCACTCATAAGCCCTGGAAAGACTAAGTGAATCTTCCATAACGATACTGAAAAAACTCCATTTTCATAGGCATTGCATTCATGCTGTGTCTTCTGCACAGCAGTAGTGAAAAGACAATCCTGCAGGCTGCATGATGAATAAAGAATGCTTTCAGCTTTCCCTTATGGTCTCTCTACTTCCCTTCGCTCTATCTCCTTATTTATAATTTTGCCACCTATTCCTTTTTCCATTAAAAACAAAAACAAACAAACAAAAAAACACAAAACACAAAAAAGATATATTATTTTTCTTTTCCTGGGGATGTTTTCTTTCATTTTTCTTCTTGCTTGCATTTCCAATTTGTGGCAATCAAAATCCATTTCTATCTTAATGGCACCTCTTATCAGACATGGTCTCTGAGTGAGCATTATCTGACTTTAGCTGTCATGCACGGACACAGAAAACAGAATGAAGAAGCTTCAGGCTGTATATCTTTCCTTTTTATCTCTTGGCTCTGTCTCTTGGGCCCCCATTCGATATTCTTGCATCCTAACAACCATGCAGCTGTGCAGTGTGATTATCTACAGTTCAAGGGGAGGGATGGCATGTATTTGTTTTGAGCTCTGGGTTTCACCTAAGGCATTATGAGCATGATATTGGGTAGGGCTTATTTCATTTCTGTTGGATAATTAGCAGTTAGCTTTCTAAGAAAAAGTCTATCTTAAAATGAACAGTGTGAGAGCACGGCCCAAGGACTGTGCTGGTTAGATGCTATCACAGCACTGTTTATGAATGGCTCCTTTTCAGTTAGTGAAGGGAAACAAGCACCTCCAGATGGCAATCCATCTTATCTGAAGATGGAAGCCTGGTTGCTTTCCATCAGCAAGAGAAGAAATCTATCACTGTGCTTACTTAGCAAGCAGTGCAACTCAGTAGTTCTGGTAGAGCAGAGTGAAACTTTTGGTGTGGAAGACCCAACATGCACACTGTGAGCATTTCCAGGTACCATGGTAGAATCCGTGCTGGACTTCTATTCTTGGTCAGAGCACACTAGGTGCACCTTGCATTAGTTTTCAGTTTAGTATTATCCATAGGAAAGCAGTTCAGTCTTTCTGAGAACATTCCTCAAAAACAACATAGGGGCAATAAATAGGGGCAAACCCAAACTTAGAAAGCTGATCCTGATCCTGACCAAAACACTAGCGGAGACCCACCATGGAGTCATTAGCTTAGCCTTACACAAGATAATTTTGTGTGTTCTTTTTTTGTTTGGAAAAGTTAATTGATCTGGAAACTGCACCAAGTGGCCTTTACTGTCAGGTGGTCTGGAAAGCATTGCTCCATAATGCTTTATATGAAAAGCTGTGTTGGTCTTGCATTACTTGGCATCTTCCACTTGTCAATCAGAGATGAGAAACTCAGCAATAGCCTTAAATAGATAAACATACAAAGTGGGACTTCAGGTAGAGGTAAATGAGTCACTGCTAAAAAAGAAAGATCTGGAGACTCATTAAGGTTGTTTATTTTACAGCATAAATGCAAGGAAGCAACAAAAGAAAGAAAAAAAGAAAAGGATTTTTGTGGAAGTGATTTTTATAGAGAGCAGCAGGTACTGTGCCTCAGAGGCTGGGAAGGAAGTCTGAGTTAAACAACATGACAGCAATCAGCACAAAAAGTAATGGGTAATGAGAGAAATATCTCAATGACAACGTAAACTAAATAAATGCAGTATTTTTTGAGCCTCATTTGGCACTATCTTATTTTTCCTCTGCAGATAAATTCTAAATATCACCCAGTGTGTAAATCTGGCTGAAGCAATATGCCATGCACAGATATAGACTCTGAAACATATTTTGTTTTTACTTCCTTGTTGATCTAAATATTTTATGTTAGGGTGAGAAATCCTTCACTCATCCTGTGCTTTGTTGCTGAGTTCAGAGTGGTGGTGTTTTAGCAATGCACTTGCTGTACTGGTGCTGTGATACCACAAAACCATCTTGCTGACTGATCTTATTGAATTGCCCTAATGTATATCATATCAATATTTTGGAAGAGAATCTTAACTGTTTTATCTGTAAGCAGGTTCAACAGAACTGCGTGACTGCATAGAATTTGCAGCTGTGTTTCTAAACATTACTCTCTCATAGCTGAAAAATAAAATGTAGTTCCTCAAAATAGGTGTTCAGAGTAAAATTTGAATCACATTCCTTACTTGGTAAGAAACTTCAGCTTCAGCTGACTTTCCTTCCCCAGTGGTCTTCAGGAATAGAAAGGAATCCTGTAACGTCACCACATCACTCACATATGTTTATTTAATTCAACTTACTTCTTCAAGTGGAATCTCATCTTCAACTGGACAAGCAATATGATAGGAAGGGAATGGCTCTGACCAGCCTTTCTTTGTGCAGTTTCTTCTTATTATCCCAGCTGAAAGAGAATCTCTTAGTCTTACCAGTGAAGAGCCACATGACACAGAAAATAAAAACCAGGAGATATCTTGCTAGTGTGAAGGCTGAACTAAGAGAAGAGAACCATGGCCATTGTTATCCCAGATTGCTGACAGGTACGCAGGTTTGCATGCGTACATCCAGGTAGGCAGGTACAAAAGTTTTAACTTTTTCTCTGGAGATAAAAAGCAGAAAGAGGTGAGAGAACCAAGGAGACAGAAGTAGAGGTGAAATGGTAAGGAAGAAATCATAGGAAGGTCGAGAAAGCCCACTGAAGAAGACTGGGAGGTGCTGCTCCAGTTTTCTGCCTCATTCATCTCTCACCCCTCTAATGTACCCCTTCTTGCTCTCTCACCTTCCTTGGGGCTTACTTTCCTCTGGAGACCAGACACTGGAATAAGAAGGGTTTTTTTGGAGATAACACATTTCTATAAAAAGATTTCTGAGTCAGATGAAGGATGAGTGAGAGAATCCCAGAAGAGGAAATGAAAGTACACAGATGGAAGGGATTTTCCTTATCCCCTGTTCATAGCTAGCAAGTGCTGAATGAGGCTGAGGTTGGGGTTTGAAAACTTTTCTTCTTGTGGAACTGCCAAATCTGCATATTTCCTGGAAGATCATTTCCTCCTTATGGGATTGCAGTTTGTTCCTGGCCAGCTTTATCCAGAGAGTAAGCATTAACAAAGGCATTAACTTGCATAGCCTTATATTGTGTTTATACCCAACACAATACATATGCTATTTTAATGACAAGATTCTGTTTTGTATTGCCAACCTTGGTCTTAAGAAACAATCAAATAATTCATTGCTCAGCCTTTCATTTCATCCCAGGCTAATCAGAGCATAGATCTTACAGAGATCCATGCTTAAGTTCTGACCTAGATGAGTACTATGCTAGCTCTGTACAGATGTACCCAGCAAGATGATCTTGAATCCTGGGGAAACCAATGCAAACCACTTGACTGATTTTAGTGTTCTTTGGATCAGGATCTTACCACAGACTATGGGATTACATGTAGCTGTGTATCACGCATAGGTTGTGAGATATCTGCTCAGCATCCTCCAATCTGATTGAAATTTTTGCAGTGATGCTCTGATCTGAGTACAGGGCTGAAATTTTTGCAGTGTTCTGTCTTCATCAATCATTTTCAGATATGCTTGCCCCAGGCATGCAGCTCAATAATAATTAGACAACCAAAATAAAATATCACCTGGCTCTTCCATGAAGTGAAAGAGGATGTTTGGGCAAGGTAAGGCAAGAGTCTCTCCAGCATCTGCCTCTGGCCAGCACAGTAATTTGTCCCAGGTTTTCTTGCAACCTCAGACAGAAAGGGAAATACATTTTTAAGCATGATTATATTCAAGCAAAATGGAAGATTTTTTTTCTAACTTCAACCCTCTGCCCCTCACATTTCTTATAAAAATAGTTTAGGCTCAGTTTTTATTTTATAGTGAGAGATGAACATCTACTCTGCTTTACTCAGACCCATGATGCAACAAATGAAAAAATGTGGTTAGGAAATGGGAGGGAGAGTTCTGCTGGAGGACAGACCAGATCATGTCAAGAGGTTACGCTGTTGTTAAAGACCAATGATGCCATGATGGCACTTAGCTAGGGGAAGAAGCAGGACAAAGAAATATCTGTCTGTCCATGTTTGACAGGACTGTCCATGTTTGAATGTGAACAAAATATTAGTAAAGAACAATTGAAGGTATGGAAGCAGACGGAAGAGGAATTGAGCAGAGTCCAGGGATGTGGGACAGTGAGTAAAAGAATCAAACATGCATTGACAGTGACTGAGTCATGGTCCTTGCAGGGTGTTTATTCTCTGTCATTCAATTCATCCCTCTCTAATGGATACCTGATGTTGCATTCCTGGACTCCTCTGAGTTTTCCAGGCATTCAGCCTCCTTTTTCTTCAGCTCTGCTATAAAATCACATTCCGGATGGACATTCCCAGCAACCTACAGAAAGAGGAGTTTCAGCTGATGAGGAAGGAAGTTTCAGGAAGGATCTGAGGATCACGACTCATTTGCTGCCTGACATTAGCCGCTACCAAATCTGGATCCAGGGAGCTATAATGTTCTCCCTTTCTTGATAGTGAAGGGCATACAAGACCAGCCTGCTTCTCAGCAGAGACATGTCCCCTCCCAGCCTTCAAAGAAACATCTTGAATCTACATATGATTTTTTTATAAAACTGTCTTCTGAACAAGCTTTTTGCTCCAAAAAGCGAGGATCTGTTCTCTATTTTCTGCCATTGGTTGTGGTTGATGAAAAACTGACCATGAGCCCACAGTGTGCTCTTGCAGCTCAGAAGGCCAATGGTATCCTGGGTTCCATCAGTGGAGGGGTTGCCGGAAGAGGGGAGAGGATTTTTCCCCTCTATTCTGCTCTCATGAGGCCCCAGTCTGGGTCGCCCCATACAGGAAGGATGTGGAGCTTCTGGAGAGAGTACAGAGGAGGCCACAGAGATGACCAAAGGGCTGGAGCACTTTTCCTATGAAGACAAGCTGAAGGAATTGTGCTTATTCAGCCTGAATTAGAAGAGGCTGTAGGGAGACCTCATTGCAGCCTTCCAGTATTATAAGGGGAGATTATAAGCAAGTGGGAAATTAACTACTTACATGGATAGATAGTGATAAGGGGGAATAGTTTTAAAGACATTGGTTTTAGTTTTTCTGGGCGTTTTCATAACATCACGCCTATTAAATATTGCTTTTCCACTGTTTTCTCTCATACACATCAGGATGGCTCAATATCTCCATTCTTTTCACATTACAGTAAACATCACACAAGCGATGACAGCAAAAGAAGCCTCAGTTTATAGAAGGTGAGAGTCAGCCTCTAAAACATTCAAAACCTCTCCAAAAGTTGACTTCATCTCTTCCAAGGAAAGCACACTATTAATTTTTACAAACAAAGAAAAGAGGAGGCTGTTTTTCAAAACTGTTTTGTAGGCAAAATAACAATTGTTTGCATATCCTCTGTTACAATAAGATATGTAAATGCACAATATGGGATTTATGTTATACACTTACACATAAACATATGGGTTTTATTCAGTGCATAGTCTGAATAACATCACAACTGTCATGATTATGTAGAAGAAAATACCATTTCTCTTGTATAAATGGGGCACGTCCTTATAGAGACCTTCAGTGATATTGCTGACCTTACTATTAACCTGGATCCTGCTATTCCACACAGCAATTATAATCCTCAGAGCACAGGGAAGCAGAGATTGTTGTGGGCAACACAAAGGAAAGCATAGCTTTACATGAATAAAAATATATACAGAGATTTTGCAGTGCTTTGTTTCTCTCAATCCACGAAGAATGAACTGCTTTGCCACTCCTCAAGGAACGATCCATCAGAAAAGAGGCTCCCTGCATTCCAATTCTCAGGAGAGAGCAAATGGTATAGCAGAAGGATAGCAAAAGGAAAATGCTGAAAACATCACCTCAAAAGAAAGGAAATACCCTTCCCCCACTTTTCATACTTTTTCTGCTACGTGTGTGATTCTGAATGCTGGTTTCCTAATCGCTGCCAGAAGCAAAACATCAGCAAAGCCTCTAAGCTGTCTAATGTTGTTGGATATTTCTAACTCCATCATAAGTATCCCTGCTGATTCAACTCATTTGTCACCTTTGGTATCCGAGCTGCTCACATTAAATAATGTTAATGCTACCAAAAAGGCAGATGAAACGAGAACTAATAAGGCTGCATATTCTGAAAATCAAGAAAACTGTCAAGGCTCAACTGATGTAACAACTCTCCTCTACTTTTTTGTTACCGACTTTCAAAGCCTACAACAAAAAAAAGGGCATTCTGCCAATGATGTTTCTCTTCAGCAAGTGGTAAAAAAGCAGTGAAAGGCACTGATGCACAGATCCTAGAAATTGTGTCCCTTCTGATGCTGTTCGCACTTTTCATAGCTTCTTACTTTGTTTAACTGTAACTTAAAACAAACAAAAAGAAAACAAAAACAAAAACAAAAACAAAAACCTAATTCAAAAAAGTACAGCTGTATCCAATCTGATCCAAGGAGAAAACAAGCAATTATTAAAAAACACTGAAGGTAAAGTTACTTTCATGCAATTACTCACAAGCACAGCAAGAGTCAGGGTGCACAGGACACAGCGGTATAACATGCTAGAATTTGTGCTCCAAAGCAAAGTCAGACTTCAATTCTTTTATCTTCCTTAGCATCTTTCACCTTCCTTTTGGCTTCCCTTTCTCCCATCAATCAGTTGCTGATCTGAAGCATTTATCCCTTTAGACCAAAGTGACGTAGCAGCACGGTGAAGTGGGAATTAAATATTAACAACTCTCTAAGCTGCATTTAACCTGCTTTCCACATTTTAATTTTTCAGTATACTCAAAGACTGGATGGGTGGATTGAGAGACTGTTCCCAAGATTATCAGAAGATCAGCACCTCCTGGAGAGACGCCACTTTATCTCTCCATGACACAAAATAAGCTTGGGAGGTATAAAAGCTCCAAATGTTGCTAATCTTGAATTTAAACAACATGGCTTGAAAAACACAAATCCACTTCTACCAGCTCTTGTTAATACCAGTTCATTCCAATGTAACATGATTCTTACTGTAGCTTCAGTGAATCTTTGTGTGGGTGTGTTTATATGGAAAATAACAACCATGGTACTACAATTCAAAATACAAGTTCAAAACCTGCTCACAAGCATATGAACCCAAGTTCTGTGGGGCACGTGTTGTAGGTTGATCTGAAGACAACATTTGCAAGCGATTCTTCTCACTTTTCAAAGTTCAGTGTCTAAATCTAAACTAGTCATCTTCTGTAGTCGGAATATAGAAATATGTACACTCTGTTCATTCTCTTAAGATGAACCTTGAGATAGGTGATCATCATAGAATGATTACAGAATCATTTGAGTTGGAAGGGACCCTTAAAGGCCATCTAGTCCAACCCCCCTGCAATGAACAGGGACAGCCACAGCTCCATCAGGTGCTCAGAACTCCATCCAGCCTGACCTTGAGTGTCTTCAGGGATGAGGCATCCAGTGCCTCTTTGGGAAATTTCATGTGCTAATTCATAATTTGTGTTAAGATTTCAGGATGGCGTACAGAGAACAGGGTAAGAGCAAAGAACAGGATGGTTGGTCCCATCCCACTCCAGAAATACCCATTTTGCCTAAATATCTAACATCCAGGTGCCATCTGGTCAGCTGTATTCCAGCCATCTTGAGTATGTATGAAATTTTGTCTGTCGATAGATAATGTCTTGAAGGACACCATATTCAACATCAACATTCATTAAATGTTAACATTGCAAAAGCAGAGATACAAGATGTGAAATGCCTTTAAAATTTTCATCTTTCCTGTTTTCTCTCCATATAATGCCATTCATCCAAATCAGTTCTTAGCCCCAGCTTCCATCTTGCTACAACGCTCTATTCCCATATAACTGTTTTCCCCTCTAACACTGCTTTTCCTCCATCTTCCCCAGTAGTTAAATCACATGGCATCTTACTACTTATCTATACAGCTTGGGCAGGAGATTGAAGAGTCCTGAATGACCACAGCTATGAGGAGCACCTTTAAAGTTGTGCTTATGCAGGGCTGGACCACACTTAGAAATATCTGTGCAGATGAAAAGTCTTCAGGGTTTGGCTCTAAGTAGGAGCTGAAAGAGAAAAGAGTGTGTGCAGTGAAAAAGATATCTTCAGAGAGCTGAATTTAGTTGGCAAGCTTTACTTCACTGTGCACATGAGGATTATTCTTTTTCCCCAGAGCATTTTGCCTTCCCTAAATCAGGCAAGCTTTCACAGGGCTGTTGAAAACAGAATTAGACCTGTGTTCCTACCACCATTCATCATCCAGTTCCAGAGGATGAAGCTCTAGACTTACTGGTGTATAACACCCATCAGTGTTTTTATCATGGTCAAATTCCTATAATTTTTCCTAACCTCATTTCAGAAACTACATAATTTGGAGCACTAAAATATTCCCCTGCAGAGGGCTAAAGTAGAAAAAGCAAACTAAACAAAAAACAGTAAAGAATTCAGCCCATCGTGTAAAATTCAGTTTTTCAGCTGGCAAACTTATGAAAGAGAGTTGGTAAGAGAACATAAAACTGCAGTCTTAATTTGTCATGGTACATGATTTTAAAATAACCTCTGAAAGCAGTATTCAATTCCCACCAATGTTTTGCTGATTACCTCAAATCACCATTTGAGGAGGTGCATAACCTGGTTGTACGACCCTTCAGTAATAAGGCTGGAACAAGGAGCTGTACTGCCTTACTAATATTTAATATCATGATATTCCCTGAAAATCCTGTAAATCCACAGTGGAGGTTGCTGTCATCACAGCTCACGCCAGTAGAGGCCTCTCCTTTCTTCTTCACATCCCCTCTTATTTTTTCTCTGCAGAGATTCCAGAGCAACCATCAGGCTTCCTGTGACATGCTAATGCCGTGTTCACGTTCAAATGATGTTACAAATGGTCGAGGAATGTTGTGGCCTACAGGCACTTCAACCTGTGTTCAAATAAGACTCATAAGCAGTCCTGTTTCACATGAGTTACGCCTCAACATTTCACAGGGATGCACTTTTTTGGCTCAAGTCTTAGAAAAAAAAAATGGTTGCCTATGAGTAACTTTCGGTGTACGCATCAGAAATTCCCATTGTGGCCAATTCCCAGGCCACAACATCTTTTGTGTTTATTCAATGCTGTTGAATTCATGGCTAAAAAAAAAAAAAACCCACAGAAGACATTGCTTACCACTTTCCAAAGTATCGAAGTACATAGAGACCCCAATGGAAAACATCTGTGATGGTGTCCGTTTTTCAGGGGCAGGGAGCACTGATATAGAGGGGTCTCATTCTGAAATCCACCACATTGAAACATTCATGGCCACAGTTTGTTTTGAAAAACCTGACATTTCTGAATTATCAACATTATTTTGCCAATCTGCAGCACAGACATTCCATTAAAATGAGTTCCTTCCTACCGTCGCTGTTCTGTGCAAATTCCCAGCTGTTTGTGATTAAGGAGAAGGGCACATCTAAAAGAAATGGACTTAAATTCTTTCTTTCTTTCTTTCTTTCTTTCTTTTTTTTTTTTTTTTTTTTTTTTTTGCATTAAAAATAACTGTTTTGTCATTGGGAAAAAAAAAGTTTCCTCAGTAACTTACAGAACTTTGAGCTTCTTCATTTTACTGTAAAAGCACATGTGAAGGACTGGTATACCACAGGCACAGACAGAAGTTATCACTTCCAGCCTACTCTGCCCAAGCTTTTTCACTCTTGAAAATCACCACCCCTGCAAGCCCACTCCCACACTTCTCCTGTGCAGAGACAACTGTTTGATGCTTCAGTAATTACTCCATTTTCCCTCCACTTATTTTTCTGACATCCATGATCAGCATGTTCCTGGGCACACTATGCTTCTCTGCCAAGCTCTTCTGAGTGGTGGCAAATTGCCTTTGGGACAGCAGAGCCGTGGTGGAGATACTGATGTGCAGTGAATGAAATATGCTTCTCCCCATGGGATCTTCAAAGGTGAAATTCTGACATTTTCGCAGCTCTCCCTAGGATTGTCTTTACAGAATGGCATTAGGCCAGCTTGTGCTACCAGCCTGCTTAGGTTGTAAGCTGCCAACAGCTTTCATAGCAGCTTGTAGCCTCCTCCCAACACTCCTACCTGTTTCTGCACTTTTCCCCCTACATACACAGCAGCATCCCCCAAAGATTCAAAAACATTTTCCCTGCCATTTTTTTCCCTCTCTCTCTCTCATCCTTCATAGAATCATAGAAACATAGAATCACCAAGTTTGAAAAGACCCAAAAGCTCATCCAGTCCAACCACTCACCTATTCCCAATAGCTCCCACTAAACCATGTCCCTCAACACAACATCCAGCCTTTCCTTGAGCACCCCCAGGCTCGGTGACTCCACCACCTCCCTGGGCATCCATTGCAGTGCCTGACCACCCTTTCTGAAAAGTAATACTTCCTAATGTCCAGCCTGAATCTCCCCTGCCGTAGCTTGAAGCCATTCCCCCTGGTCCTATCACTAATGACACGAGAGAAGAGGCCGACCCCCAGCTCACTACAACCTCCCTTCAGGAAGTTATAGAGAGCAATGAGGTCTCCCCTGAGCTCCTCTTCTCCAGGCTGAACATTCCCAGCTCCTTCAGCCTCTCCTCATACAGCTTGTGTTCCAGACCCCTCACCAGCTTTGTTGCCCTCCTTTGAACACGTTCCAGGTCCTTATTACAGTGACCACATTTTCACAGGAGATGAACTCAAAGCAGGCAAAAAAGTGGCTGCTTGTTTTATTCAAAACATTTTGTCTATGATGAAAATGGCAAGGTTTGGTAGGAATCAATTCATCACATTTGGTTGCTGGAGATTGTGATACAGTAAATGCACAAAAACGTAAATTTGTCCAAAGCTAGGTGGCCTCTCTAGACAACTGGATAGATTTCCTCAGGAAGCAAGAGCAAGGCCGTAATTATTTCAGATCATCTTTGTTCTTCTCCATGTTATTGAGAATTCAATATTCACATATACAAGGTTTGCTTTAAGCAAGACTAAGAGTCATATCTCCTGTCACCCTAAGCACCATGCCGTTGCATTTAAACATCTGAGAGAGTAAATTGTCTCCTCTACGGTAAAGAAGGCTGGATCTGTAATACAAAAGGTGCTAGATGATTGGGCTAAATTTCATCTATGGTATCCAATGGGGCTGGATGACATGCATCCCAGGGTACTAAAGGAACTGGCTGATGTGGCTGCTGAGCCACTCCATCATATTTGAAAAGTTGTGGATGTTGGGCAAAGTCCGCGGGGACTGGAACAAAGGAGATGAAATGTCACTCTCATTTACAAGAAAGGGAGGAAGGAGGAATCAAGGAACTACATGCTGGTGAGGCTCACCTCTGTGCTTGGGAAAACAATAATTGCAGCTTTTCTACTGACATTTAGAAAATGAGGAGCTTCCAAAACTGAACATAAACATTTGAAGTTAAATAGCCAAGAGTTCTGGGAAGACATTGCTACAGCTGCGTATTTCCCATGGCTCACACCCCAAAAAAAGGTACTGGAATTCAGCACTGAGAAAAAAGCTAGAGTAAGCATTTTGCTCTGAACTTGTTAATCCCATCAGCATGGCCAAAAGTAAGTGGAAGTGGAGCCTGGACTGTTTTTGTGGTCTACCAGGATTAGACCCATGGGGAGATACCA